CCCTTTTTTTTTTTTTTTTTTTAAATCACCCTCCTTCTTCCGCCATGCTGTGCACCCCAAGATCCCATTCCTAACACCAGTGTGACAAAGTTCCTCCTCTATCTTGGTGGATCCTGCGCTTATTGGCGGATTTTCTTGCCTCAGAGATTCACCATGTGGGTTGGGGAACAGAAAACTACTCATCCAGTGACCAGTATATTTGCGCTCTACCAGACTCCTGTACCCCACTGGTTTGGGTCTGTCACAGTTTGTATAGTACCTAGCAGAGTGGGGTGGTAGTCCATGCCAAGGGCTCCTAGGTGCTATGGTAAAACAAATAAATAATAATAATATCAAACAGAGATAGATTAGCACGTGGAAGAAAAAACAAACAGGGTCATACACTCATCTTCATGTGAAAATTTATGGAGAATGGGGAACCACCATGTCACCATGTGAAGCTGTTTCTGGGCCACAGCTCTGCATGTTGTCCCATCTAGTATGCAGGCTAGAAGCAGAAAGAATAGCTAGTGAGTGGGATTGCCAGCATTAGCAAAAGGCTGAAATACAGAGGAACAATAGGGTCAGATTCCATGGACTTTGTTCTGGCCAAGATTCTCCCTCACTCAACCCAAGTAGCACAGCTCTGCCATGACGATACCGGATGGGCCCATAAGTCTCCAGAGAGTGAAAAGCCATGGAAGAGGTACTCATAGGCTCACCTCACTACTAAAGGAAGATGCTTTCTATACTGTGACTTACTCCACTCTGCAAAGGGAAATGGATGTGGTAATGCTGCTCTTCCATCTACTCCTCTGTCTTTGGCTATGCCCTCCAGTTGTGAAGAGCGCTACACTGCAGCCATGAAGAAGTAGTGCTTGCTATATACTGTGGAGTACGCTACCACATAGCCACCTTTTGCATTTGTACATCTCCCATTGCCGTGGAGGGCAACCTGTGGCCCGTGGGCTGCATGCGGCCCATCAGAGTAATCTGCTGGTGGGCCGTGAGACAGTGTTTACATTGATCGTCCACAGGCATGGCCGCCTGCAACTCCCAGGGACCACAGTTCGCTGTTCCCGGCCAATGGGAGTTGTGGGAAGCGGCGTGGGCCGCAGGGTCATGCTGGCTGCCGCTTCCCGCAGCTTCCATTGGCCGGGAATGGCGAACCCCAGCCACTGGGAGCTGCGGGAATGCTGTGCTTGTGGACCATCAACCCGCAGGCTGCAGGTTGCCCACCACTGCCTCCATTGGTTTCCCATAATTTTTCCATACCATACAGTAGATGAAGGACCTTGTGGTCTTTCTAAAAATGTGACTAGGATATTCTGTCCTGACTTATATTTCCAACATTTAATTTTTCCATAATGTTCACTTCTATTTATTAGCACATTTTAAAAGTGTACTCACTGGAATAGCCTTATTGGGGCTGGGAAGACCGAGAGAGAGAGAAATCATGTTTGCAAGGATCCTACGGAGAAAGAAATCATTCAGTCATATTACAGAATGCTCAGTGCAACACATATATGGCTAAAGAATGCATACCATCGTGGGAGGCCTTTTGTTTGGCAGTTAGGAGATACTAAAACTTACTCATTCCTTTTCCCTTTAAGATACTATAATGACGAACATGAGGTTTTAATTGTTTTTTAATTATGTATTTTCCTAGAGAGAATGTAGGAAAGGTTAACGTGAGTGTCATTTGGGTACTGAACAAGGAAAATGCGTGGCTATTATTCCATTAATGTATTATTCAAGAGGAACAGCAATTAATTCTAATTAAATATATTGTCCTAGCCGTATTAAAAATATCAATGTTGCAGGTAGGCAGGGATTATCTCCCTCTGTGGCGTTTATCACTTTGTATACGCATTATTTTACCTGTAACTCTGAACCACTAACATTACCATTCCAATCATTTGAAATATGCTAAATATGTAATACATGGAGAATGAATCAAGGCAAAAAGATGCACCATTTTGAACCCATCTTTAATGCCACTTATTTAGCAAAATGCATTGTCATGAGGTGCATGTTCTCAACTGTTCCTTGAACAGACTGTAGACCTCCATAAAACAGTAATTTATGCCAGCTATTCTGCTTGCTGGAAAACTACACTGTTCTAAAGTATTTTAATCTTATTGGAGCTATTTGTTTCATTTAAATTTGAAAATAGCTTTTTGAAAGCCCCTACAAGCACAGCATTCCTGGACTCCTTCTAGGTGTTAATGGAAACCTTCAAGTAAGGAGGAAGCAGAGAAGGGACTTAGAACGTTACTCAGGTTTTTCTTGCTATTAAACTAGCCTAAGATACATAGACTGTATGCCCAACAGTTGGAACAGTTAAACAAGAAGGCCATAGGTGCTGGAACTACGGGTGCTGGGGATGTTGCTGCACCCCCTGGCTTGAAGTGGTTTCCATCATATACATGATTTACAGATTAGTTCAATGGCTCTCAGCACCCCCACTATCCGAATTGTTCCAGCACCCATAAAGCAGCCTGGTAACCAAGTCCAAAAATAACCATGTTAAGGAAGTACACTAAGTACAGGATACCTAGCCCTTCTGAAAGCCATGTTCTCCTTGTTATTTTGATATTCTGTGTGTCCACTTGGGAAGTTTCATAGAGGAGCAATCTTTGCAAAAAGTGTACTTGGCTAGTTTTCTGCTTGATCTTAGTGTCATATTGCCAAATTCTACCTTTGAAACTGCACAGCTAACTTTCTCTGGGTTAAATATACTATTGCCAATTGAGTTAGGTTGCCTTGCACCAGTAGTGAACTTGGCACACTGTGTGCCTATCCAAGTGCAGATTTTTGGTCCAGTGTCCTATGCTTATGATTAAGGCTACATTTTAGTCATAGGTATTTTTAGTAAATGTCATGGACAGGTCATGGGCAGTAAACAAAAATTCATGGCCCGTGACCTGTCCATAACTTTTACTAAAAATACCTGTGACTAAAACTTGGGCAGGGGGCCGCAGGTGCTCGGGGGGGGCAGTCTGGGGGTGCTGCGGATGCTGGGGGAGGGAGCCCAGGACCCTGCTGGTGCTGGGTGTGGGGGGATCCAGGCTGTGGTGCGCAGCCCAGGACCCCTGCTGGTGCTGGGGGGAGAGAGGGTTGGTGGGGCTGGCAGGGGCTCCCTACCAGCTCCACATCCCTGCATCTCCTAGGCAATGGAGGGGCACAAGCATCAGCTGCCACAGCTCCCATTGGCTGGGAACCACAGCCAATGGGAGCTGCAGGGGCAGACCCTGCTGCCACAGGCAGCACACAGCACGGAGCCCCTCCCCCCCGGCTCCTCTGCCTCCTAGAAGCTGCAGGGCCATGCCAGTGGGAGCCCCCCACCCTGAGGTAAGTGCCCCTCTGCACCCCCAAACCCTCTGCCCCTAGCGCTGAGCCCCCTCCCACACACCCAAACTGCTGTTGCTGCCCAGCTTGGGCAGCCCCTGAGCCAGCACTGGCCACTGCAGAAGTCACAAGAGGTCACAGAAAGTCACGGAATCCGTAACTTCCGTGACAGACTTGCAGCCTTACTTACGATATTACAGCTTATTGCCATGAAAGGATGGGCTGTCGCTTCAAGGTCAGCTAGAAGATGGGCTATGAGAGCAGAAACATTTTTTAAATACAGCTGGGCCAGACTCTCGGCTGGGCATAGTCAAGAGTGGGAGTCTCAAAGAAGCTGAATGTGGCTTCCTTATTCTGGAGTTGGTTCTATGCTACTTATTACACAGACTACAACAGTCACAGGATTTTTTCTCTAATCTGCCCCCGCTGGCAGACAGCCCCTTGGAGTCAGAGCCAGCTAGGGATTGCTAGAGTGCAGTGCACTCCAGTTGTCTATTTTTCTCACCCCTGGCATGCCCCCTGTGCAGAGAGCCAATGATTCTGGCTTTACCCTAGGGCAGGGATCGGCAACCTTTGGCACGCGGCCTGCCACAGTAAGCATCCTGGCGGGCCGGGCCAGTTTGTTTACCTGCCGCGTCCGCAGGTTCGGTTCGCCGCTCCAGGCCAATGCGGGTGGCGGGAAGCAGCGGCCAGCACATCCCTTGGCCCGCGCTGCTTCCCGCAATCCCCATGGGCCTGGAGCGGTGAAACGTGGTCAGTGGGAGCCGTGTTCGGCTGAACCTGCAGACGCGGCAGGTAAACAAACAGGCCTGGACGGCCAGGGTGCTTACCCTGGTGAGCCGTGTGCCAAAGGTTGCTGATCCCTGCCATAGATGAAGTTACCTCCCTCCCTCCCTCCCCTCCCTGCACCAGAGTCTTAAACTGGGGATATCCAGCAAAGTAATAAAGCATGTGCATAATTTTAAGCACATGAGCAATCCCATGTGAGACTACTTATGTGCGTAAAGTTATGTTTAAATACTTTCCGAAATCAGGGCCTCTAGCACCACTAGCAGCATTATCACTCTCTGGTCCTTGTATTCAGGTGAGGCAGGCACAGGGACTGAGCCTCTCCCTGCATGAGTGTGCATGGTGGGGAAGGCTTCTTTTACCTTCTCCCTGCCATTCTAGCATACCAGCACAGGGCCAGCTATGGTCTGATGCATTGCTATCCACAGCTTCAGAAAGGATTCCAAATGCTATTGTGTGACTTTGTGCACAACCAGTGCACTCAGAAAACATTTAAATCCTTGATTGTGCTTCACCCCCAAAAGCAATGGAAGTTGTTTACAAAATTGTGTTTCCTTTTGGCTCCTCGTAGATTTAGAATTTTTTCTTCCTTCGGCTATCAGAAATAAGGCTATCGCTATCCTTGGTAACATGCACTCTGGATCTTAATCATCTATTTATACAGACATTTCCTCTTTAAAAATACATTTGGGGCAAAACAGAATAAATATTCATTTAAAAATCAAATGTTTATATTTTGGAAAATGCCTGTTTACTAGGAATTCTCCAGACAGCATGATGTTCTCCAGCTGCAGGGAAGAGTTCCATTAAACTGCCTTTATAGTCGTTGCTGTGGCAAATGGATCGTCTGTTGGGTAATGAGTAAGTTAGGGTTTCAGGTTACAACAAATCCTTCTTTCTATCTGTAACAGGAAGACTGTGGTGGTGTAAATTAACTGGTTAGCTGATGAAAGGGCATGATACCACCACAAGGAATGCAAAACCTGTTGATCTCCATATACTATGTAAGGATGGATGTTTCCTTTAGTGAGAGATTGTGTGTGTGTGTGTGTGTGTGTGTGTGTGTGTGTAAGAATGTAACAGCCTGCAAAATAATCCTAACTCTTTTGCACTGATTCCTCTGACAGCAGTCTGAAAAATAACATATCCAGTGCCCTGTCTGGCTGACAATACTTTATGTTGATAACTCACATTCTATGAGTTTTTACATGGCTGCTCCTTTAACAGAAGCGTAGCTGGATTTTTGAAACAATTTTTCTCCATTAGTAATGGGAGAAACTAGCAAGGAAAATGCTGACTATCATCTCGCAAATCTGTGGAGGTGGATGAAGACTAAATGGGGCCCACATTCACTACAGTATTTTTGCCAGCTCCCCTAAACGTATTTACTTCAGTTTACCATCTCTCTCCTCCAGTTCCTTGGTGTTTCTCCCAAGTCCCCCTCAAATAGACTCTTTCTTCCTGGACTCCCCACCATCTCCCCAATGAATTCCTTGATCTTTCTCCTGTAGCGTCCCAGATAAGTGCATGGTTTCTCACTGACTCAGTGATCCACATGGCTCCCACATACAACCAGTCCTGGATGCAAGGATCCTGCCTTAATCTGCTGCTGTGAAATCTCCCAGACCCATAGCAAATAAAAGTCAAAAGATAAAACCCTACTCATGACACCAAGAGCTGGAATGAATTTGGTGATTATTTTTGTTAGTGGCACTTTAGGAGGGAAAATATATATTGGATATATCCAGCATATTTCTCTGAAACATTATCTGCCCATTTGAAAGCATCCAAATTACTAACATTATTTTGTAATCCACGGATCTGCTGCATCCTTTATTCTGTTCTATTGAGTCTATTCATGAGTACGGTTCTATCTTTTGACATTTATCTAGAAAAAGCCTCTCATTAAGTTCCCATTAAAGCCAAGATGTAGCAACCTACCGGGAAGAACAGTAGCACAGATAATAAAACACAGGTTTTCCTCTCTGGCACAGTAATAGAGATCCTAAGACTAGCCCACCATGCTAGCAACTCCTCTAGAATTAACATACATGGTATTTAGCTGTCCTTCTGGCATACTTGACTCAGATTGAATTACCATTCTGGAGGACTGCTCTCAAATGTGAAGGTGCTTTGGTCTACTTGAAGTGGGGTGGCTTAAATGGTCATGTAACAAACAGAAGTTGATTCAGTAAAAGATATTACCTCACCCATCTTGTCTCTCTCATGTAACAATCAAGGCCACCCAGAATGAAAACATCTTCTGTAGCCTCTGATCAGGGAAGTAAATGGATACCTGCAGATATAAAATACACAAGACAGTATACCATTATTAGGTGTGCTATCACCATAGACCCAGTTCAGCTACTCTTACTCAGATAAGTAATATTTTAATCCACAAGTAGTCCCATTGATTTCAATTGGAACTATTCTCATAAACAATCCATAATGATCCCTTCTGGCCTTAAAAATCTATTTAATGTAAGGATTACAGAATAAATACCTCAGTGTATAAATCAGAGCCTGACATCTTTCTACTTACACTACAGTAGATTTAACTCAGAGTCATTTTTGTTAGTCCATCTCCTACATATTAGAAGTAATTCACTGGCTAAAGTCCAACGTTCCTCAAATCATCCTTACACTTCTTCTAATCCAAGATATGAAATGTGCCATCTCTCATCTTCCTTCTAGTTTAGCTATATTGTAATTGTTGAAGTCTCTCTTGTGAGCCATAGAACAATGATGTTTCCTTGATGCTATTGTTAAATTGAATCCTTCTCTCTTGCTATTTGAGGGAGAGAGAGAGAGAGAGAGAGAGAGAGAGAGATTGTTCCTAGCACATAATTAAATGGGTTTTTATTCAAAGTCTATGTCACAGCTGTAAGCTTTATGCATAACAGCTATGGTCCCCTGGCATAATGGAACTCTCCTCAAGAAGGCTGAAACTTGTCTGTGTGGGAGAGAGAACTTTCTTGAGGGCCAGTCCCAGTCTGTGGAATGAACTCCCCAGGAATTAAGGACCATCACAAACCTCACCACTTTCTGCTGTAAGTACAAGGCACATTTCTTTGAGCTTGCTTTCTCTAATAAATACATAGAAACATGTATATTTATACAAACAACCCCCTCCTCCCCAAAACCCCAAACCCAACAAAAGAACCCTACCAAAACAAGACACGCCACTCCACATGCTTCTCCCCTTGGAGAGACAATGAATGAAAAAACAGCAAATGACAGATGTTAGTCACGTTGCTTAATTCACTACTGGAAGGTTCTCAGATACTATTGATGATGAGAGTAGTGTGAGAACCTATATAGAATAGAACATGTGTATTTGGTTTGCTATGCGGGTCAGAATTTGCAAAAGAGCTCAGTGCATGGTTGATGATCTAGCCCTCATATAGGTATCTTAGGATATGTCTATACCAGGGATCGGCAACCTTTGGCACACGGCTGGCCAGGGTAAGCACCCTGGCAGGCCGGGCCGGTTTGTTTACCTGCTGCGTCTGCAGGTTAGGCCAATTGCGGCTCCCACTGGCCGCGGTTTGCCGCTCCAGGCCAATGGGGGCAGCGAGAAGCGGTGGCCAGCACATCCCTCAGCCCACGCCGCTTCCCGCAGCCCCCATTGGCCTGGGACAGCGAACCGCGACCAGTGGGAGCCGCGATCAGCCGAATCTGCAGACGCGGCAGGTAAACAAACCAGCCCGGCCCACCAGAGTGCTTACCCTGGCGAGCCGCATGCCAAAGGTTGCCGATCCCTGGTCTATACTGCAGTTGGAGAAGTGATTTGCTTCTTGTGTAGACAAAGCCATGCAAGCTTTAATCTAGGTAGCTCACTAAAAATAGCAGTGAAGACATGGTGGCATGAGCTAGAAACATGAGTTTGTAACTAGGGTTCCCTGCAGGCTTGTACAGCCCATGTTGAAACCCATGCTGCTGTATCTTCACTGTCATATTTAGCCACACTAGCTAGATTACAGCTAGTACTGGTATGCCTACATGAGCTGCAATCACACCTCCTGTCGCAGTGTAGACTTATCCTAAATGGGAGCTGATCTCTTTTGAAAATTTGACCACTAGTGACTAATCCTACGCTCAATGAAATATGTAACAAAGCTCTCATTGAGTTTAATTTGAGCAGGATTGCATTTCTATTCATGGTCTGATCATGTTCACGTTGAAGTCAATAGGATCTTTGCCATTGATTTAATCAAGAGTAGGTCCCTTTACCTTTTCTAGTAGATAAGGAAGCTGTATGAGTCCTTTTACGTTGAGAATTGTACAGATGAAGAGCAAGCACATGATGGTATCTCTCCTTTGGAAGCTTCTCTATGATTCTGAGGAAGTAGTAGTGTGAGCTTCTGGGGAGATTTCTGCCAAGGAGTCATAATCTTTGGCACCCTGAAAATTGATTTGTTTTAACTGATTGCTTAACTTCTCTTGTTGATATGGATTGCCAAGCCCAGTTCTAGGCATTTTCCTATCCTAGGTTAACTTCTTCAAGAGTTGCACCCTTTTCATTCCTTACCCAATACATCTATCCTCAGAATTCCACTTTTGCCCATCTAGCTATACGAGCCCATCCCAGGTCTTACTTTTAAAATTATGTATTTAACATTTTGCAGTTACGATTTCTCTTAAGTAATATTTTTTATAAAAAATATCTCCTTTAGAGTTGCTCTTCCTTGTCTTTGTCTTTTCCCTCATTTCCCTATTTTTTTCTCTATATTAACTATACAATTTAATGCATCTTATCATCCCTTACTTTGGTTTGCCCTCAAGTTTCTTCAATAATATATAATTTTCCCACAATTCCTTCTGTCTCCCTCCTTCCTATTCCTTCCCTTTCCTCCCTTATCTGCTATGTGTTTTTAGTCTCTCTTCACCTCCAACAGCTCTTTCATCCTCTGTTGTCTAACTTCCTGGTCAATCCTTCTTTTCTCACTCCCATCCATTACATGTTATTCTCTGTTCCCATACACCCATAACTAAAATGCATTTTTCCCACTACAGCATGCACACACACATACACACCTATAGGCTAGGATTTAAAGGGTGATATTAGTACATTAGCTAATACACGTTACTAACATGTTTTATATATTAGTGAAGACAAGACACACTGCATTTAGTGCATGATAAACTGATCAAACTAGGGCAAATCTATGCTACCACACAAGCAGCTAACATGAAGTAATCATAGAATCATAGAAGATTAGGGTTGGAAGAGACCTCAGGAGGTCATCTAGTCCAACCCCCTGCTCAAAGCAGGACCAACACCAAACTAAATCATCCCAGTCAGGGCCTTCTCAAGCCAGGCCTTAAAAACCTCTAAGGATGGAGATTCCACCACCTCCCTAGGTAACCCATTCCAGTGCTTCACCACCCTCCTAGTGAAATAGTGTTTCCTAATATCCAACCTAGACCTCCCCCACTGCAACTTGAGATCATTGCTCCTTGTTCCGTCATCTGCCACCACTGAGAACAGCTGAGTTCCATCCTCTTTGGAACCCCCCCCCCCCTTCTGGTAGTTGAAGGCTGCTATCAAATGCCCCCACACACTCTTCTCTTCTGCAGACAAAAGAAGCCCAGTTCCCTCAGTCTCTCCTTTAAGTCATGTGCCCCAGCCCCCTGATCATTTCCGTTGTCCTCTGCTGGACTCTCTCCAATTTCTGTAATGCGGGGCCCAAAACTGAATGCAATACTCCAGATGTGGCCTCACCAGTGCCGAATAGAGGGGAATAATCACTTCCCTCGATCTGCTGGCAATGCTCCTACTAATGCAGCCCAAAATGCCATTAGCCTTCTTGGCAACAAGGGCACACTACTGACTCATATCTAGCTTCTCATCCACTGTAATCCCCAGGTCCTTTTCTGCAGAACTTCTGCTTAGCCAGCCGGTCCCCAGCCTGTAGCAGTGCATGGGATTCTTCCGTCCTAAGTGCAGGACTCTGCACTTGTGCTTGTTGAACCTCATCAGATTTCTTTTGGCCCAATCCTCCAATTTGTCTAGGTCACTCTTGACCGTGTCCCTACCCTCCAGCATATCTACCTCACCTCCCAGTGTCATCTGCGACTTGCTGAGGGTGCAATCCATCCCATCGTCCAGATCATTAATAAAGATGTTGAACAAAACCGGCCCCAGGACCGACCCCTGGGGCACTCCGCTTGATACCGGCTGCCAACTAGACATTGACCCATTGATCACTACCCACTTAGCCCGACAATCTAGCCAGCTTTCTATCCACGTTATAGTCCATTTATCCAAGCCATACCTTTTAACTTACTGGAAGAATACTGTGGGAGACTGTATCAAAAGCTTTGCTAAAGTCAAGATATATCACATCCACTGCTTTCCCCATATCCACAGAGCCAGTTAGCTCATCATAGAAGGCAATCAGGTTGGTCAGGCATGACTTGCCCTTGATCTGACTGTTCCTGATCACCTTCCTCTCCTCCAAGTGCTTCAAAATGGTTTCCTTGAGGACCTGTTCCATGATTTTTCCAGGGACTGAGGTGAGGCTGACTGGTCTGTAGTTCTCCGGGTTCTCCTTCTTCCCTTTTTTTAAAGATGGGAAATATATTTGCCTTTTTCCAATTGTCTGGATTAAAGTAATGGGTTTAATCTGCTGCAAGGGAGATTTAGGTTAGATATTAGGAAAAACTTTCTAACTATAAGGGTAGTTAAATTCTGGAATAGGCTTCCAAAGGAAGTTGTGGAATCACCATCAATGGAAGTTTTTAAGAACAGGTTGGACAAAGTGGGAGGGTCACAGGGGTCAGTCCTGGGGCTGGCACTATTCAATATTTTCACTAGTGACTTGGATAATGGAGTGGAGAGTATGCTTATAAAATTTGTGGATGACAAATTGAAGGGTTGCAAGCACTTTGGAGGATAGTATTAGAATTCAAAACAATCTTGACAAAATTAAGCTGAAATCAATAAGATAATATTCAATTGAGAGAAGTGCAAAGGGGCAGCAAAAACCCTGGAGCCGGCCCTGGGTGTCAGCAGGATCTTCGACACAGAGTTCTCTGTCTGGGTCATGTGGGCAGAGTCCTTCCTCCTCTAGACAGACCCAAGCCTGCCCAGAAAGGATCAGTCATGACCTCCCCTCCCCGCCCCCAGGCCAACAGATGGCTTTTTATGTGGGTAGGGCCATGGTATAGATGAAGAGCCAGAGCATGGGGGCAAAGTCATAGGGATGTGGTTAGGACCCCAGGTTGCCTTTATTTGACCCTGTTTTGGGATATGTCGTGAAGGGGAGGAAGCTGTAAGTGATGTGGCCGTGA